TGGACTCTAGAGCCTGCACTGTGGACACCATGCTGAAAGAGACGGTAGCCACAGATGCCATCCCCCATGGAAATGCATTTTGTTGGGCCTACAGCACTTTTTAAATCAGAATTAGCTCCTGTGGTAGACAATAATTTCCCTTCCTCAAAGATGTCCACATCATAATCCCTGGGATCTGAATATGGTACTAAATATGATTAGAAAGAACAAACTCAGTTTCTCCTGCTACACTCTCATAACTGCTTATGACACCAGGTGTGGAGGGGGGGTTCCCCACACATCAAGCAAGCAAGCAATTCTACAATGGACACCAGCTGGGTGTCCTCAATTTTCATTCCAATACTATCTACCTGGAGATAGCATCAGATCCCACAGGTTCAGGGCTCACTCCTGGAGATTCCCTCCCCCTGCCCGTCCACTTCTGATGCCAATTGCAAGCCCCAGGTTGTTTTAGCTGTGCTTCTGACCCACCAGCTATAAAGCAGGGTTCCCATGACCCCCTTCTTGGGTTTGATTAGAGTAGCTTACAGAACTAAGCGAAACACTAACATTTACTAGCTTATTATAAAGGATATTACCAAGGATACAGATGAAGAGATGCACAGGGCAAGGCATGTGGGAAGGGGTGTGGAGCTTCCTTGTCCATCCTGGAACCTCCAAATGTTCAGTTATCCAGAAGCTCTCCAGTCCTTTTGGGTTTTAATGGAGGCTACATGTATTATTAGTCCATTTCTGTTGCTTATAACAAAATACCCAGAACTGGGTAATTTGTAAGAAAACAAAATTTATTGCTTACAGTTTTGGAAGTGTCCTGGGAAGTCCAAAGTCCAGGGAACACATCTGGTGAGGGTCTTTTTGTATGGTGGCTTCACAGCTATGCAAGGTCTCACATGGCAGAAAATGGCAGAGTAGAGAGAGAGAAGAAATTCTCACATGCTCTTTTTTTTTTTTTTTCCTTTTTTTTTTTGTCTTTTTTTACTGACCAGCAACGGGATCGCAACCCTCGGTGTCGCGCCCG